TGTTTTGTGCATAACTGAGACGATTAATGGACAACGATGAATAAACGTNTGAAATTTCAACTAGAGGAATTCTAGTTAGAGCTGTGATGGATACTGAAGTGAGCGATATGGAACGATTGTATTTTCAGAAACATTAGTGCTACGGTTGAGACCAAGATCGCACAGTCCACCGCACGTTAGCTGGGCAAAAGGCGTTATTGACAATGAGCATTTGGGACGGTTGAAGAGCAACTGTTGCTGCATTTGGGTGAAGCCTCGGAAATGGGATGATCCGTCAAGTTGGGAACAGGACGAACATGAGGTCGGTTGTGATCTTATGAGATGTCACTCATTAGCATAAAACAACTACGAAGGGTTCGAGAGCACTGCTTTGAATTGCTGATACCCTTCAAATTGCAGACTGAGCATTGCCGGGGACACACCTTACCGCCACCAAAACGTGATCCTTCACCGAACGAACAATAGTTTTTGCAATATGCCAAAGATGAATGAAGAACATTATTTTGATTTGTGATCATATGCTATATGTATAACTGAGACGATTAATGGACAACGATGAATAAACGTTCAATTTATTATCAATAATATATCTGGAAAATAAACCTCCACTCCTCCTCGAGTCGGCTTTCAGCAACATTGCCAAGGAGTTTCCTTCGCATCTGATGATCCATAACCATTTCGTAGACTTTTGACTGANGAATAAACGTTCAATTTATTATCAATAATATATCTAGAAAATAAACCTCCATTCCTCCTCGAGTCGGCTTTCAGCAACATTGCCAAGGAGTTTCCTTCGCATCTGATGATCCATAACCATTTCGTAGACTTTTGACTGATAAAACAACAGAACATCATTCATCCAGATAAATCTATACTCTCTTTCTAGAATTCATTAGGAAAGGATAGGAGAGCAGCCCCGCCACATCTGCGGTCGAAATCGCCTTTGGGCTTTGGAATAAGATTGGCATCAAAGAATGGTTGTGTGAAAGTATATTATGCTCGCAATGAGTTGCAACTGCGATTCAAACATAAACGAGTAAATTTGGTAGTGTGAGGCAATCGCCCGTAACAAATGAACATTCAACTCACTTCCATTGCAGATCTATAATGGAATCCTCCTTACATGTCTCCCTAGTATTTTCAGAAAGCAACTTTTTGCCCCGGAAGGACTGCGTTGGGAAGTAAAGAGGCCGAAGTGAGCCAAAAAAACTCTGAGAGTGAACTGATCGCGTGNCTCTCCATCGAGGATCCCACTCTCCCACGAACACTACTAGTCTCATGCCCTTGAATAGATTAGTGTCAAGCATCAAGTTGTCAGAACAATCGCATGTTACAGCATGCCTCTCAATTGCAACTTTTTATTTTCGATCTAAACAGATGTATGTCAATCATTAAAATTACCATTCCATCCGTAACACCGAATATCTGCTCATCTCGGATCCAATAGACAAACCACCGACCAGTTCTATTGTTGTTACTGTCTTTGCAATTATTCTTAATACTGTGGCTGTTCTCTAATGCGAAACAACGGAATGCATTATTGTTGTTACTCGTCGAACCAATCGTTTGCATTTAATATCGCATGAAATGAGGATTAGACAATCCTGCAATGCTTCATATGTTTAGATATAATGCGAAAGTGAAATCATAATCATTAACAAATGAAGAATCAGTTGCGATATCAAATGCTTACAGCAGTCTCACACCACTTCTACATTTCAAGCACTTTCAACAGACTGCAAGATTCTTCAATGAGGCAGAAACATGAACTTATAAATGTTCACAAAGTCTACTAGATGCAGTTAAAATACTTTTATGTTTTCGATTACATTACAATTATAAAAAATATAACGCACAGAGTGCATTTGATGACAAAACAAGGCAAGAGATGAGTATGTAAGCAAGTTTAACACTACAGTTAATCAATTCATTCTTTTAGCAAATTGAATTAAAACAAAATCAGTGCGCAACATAACGAACATATTAAACAGTCGTTTAGACTGTCAACTTTAAAACTCGGTTAAAGCGTCGAATAAGAAAAGCTAAAAAGTAAAGCAAAGACACTAGCACAATCAACGAACTNACATAACGAACATATTAAACAGTCGTTTAGACGACTGTCAACTTTAAAACTCGGTTAAAGCGTCGAATAAGAAAAAGCTAAAAAGTAAAGCAGAGACACTAGCACAATCAACGAACTTGTGCGATTGTAAGGCAGAGCACAAAAGGTAAAGCACAAAATTATCGGTCCATGGAACTTTACATAAAATGATCACACTAATATTGCAAAGGAAGAAAACAGAATAATTTTGAGCAACAATCCGAAATGTATACAAACT